ATAGAATTAAAAAAAAATTAATTGGCCACATAATATTATACGAAAAATTAACCGGGCAAGGTGGCACGTGCTGTAGTCACCTAACTCGGAGGCCCTGAGCAAGGAGATTGCTTGAGCCCAGGAGTTTGACGGTTGCTTGTGATTAGGCTTTGATGTCACGGCAACTCCTATCCCGGGCACAAGTAAGACTCTATCTCAAAAGAAAAGAAAAAAAGAAGAGGAAGAATGAAGAGAGAAGAATTTTCAAAATTTTTTTAGAGTTTTACTTGAAATCAATCAGTTAATTTTGGAATGATTTGTTGTTCTCCTGCCTTTTATGTTGTTCCTAAAGAAAAAAATACTGTAAATTATAATTTTTTCTTTATGGACAATATTGATTTTTGGTAATATGTCCGTTTTTCTACCCGCTTAGATAATATGTTTTTTAGGAGAAATCTTCAATTATTGGTTTGGAAACAAGTTCTTGTGCCAAAACTTAGTTTGATACTGTACACTTTGTGGTCTCCCAGTCCATAGCCATAATTTTTCCAAAATCGAAGAAATGCTATTGGTTGGAAGATGATTTCTGTGCCATGTTACTATGATCATTAGCCCCATTTTGCTTGTTTGTTTGCCCTGTTTTGGTTCACCTTAAATAATGCAGTTGCAAGAATGCTGTTTCCACGAATGGCAGGTTGGCATGTTTTTTTGTTCACAGCATCTAAATTTGATAGTTGTCTTGGATTGCAATTAATGCAACAGTTTTAAAATATGTTCCTGAATCTTGGTCAATATGTTTTTCCTTTCTGTTTTCCTGTTTATGTTATCCCATTGGAAATGAATGTGTAGTCATCCATACTCCTTTGTAATGTTGAAATTGCTCTCTCTGTTGTCCTGAATGGTCACGTATTAGAATACTACTCTATAATAAAAGTTTTTTTTTCCTTTTATGAGGTTTCTATCCCTTGTGTAATCCATGGCAAATGGAGTTATTTTTTATTAATGCACATATATCCCTCTGAAACATTTTCCCCTTTTTGTCTTTCTTCTCATGGAATCATGCTTAATGGTAACCAGTTTTCCCTTGAAATTAAGTAATTTCAAAGCCACTTTAAACAGGCAAATTATTACAAAGCTAAGTGAAAGCCCAGACATTTATTTTAAATTAAGATAACAAAGTGGTTTTGGTAAATTGTACAGTATTTTTCTCTTCAAATGGCTGAGTTTTTCATTTCACTCAGAGTTTAAGAAAGAAGTGGAGCCAAAATGATATCCAAGCAAAGTATGAAACACTAAGGCTTGCAAAGGTGAACCGTTTGTTTGTTCCACTTAATTAATTTTTATATGTTGGCAGCTTTTTATAGAAGCTTTTAACAAGAGAAAAAGTATATAAGAGTAAAT